ATATTTTATGCAAAAAAAATAAAAAATAAAAATGTAATACAGTATTTTATTGAGCATCAAATTGCGCAACTTTGCCTCCATTTAACCGATCCTGTATCTCTTACGGTTTCCGAAATCCCAATGATTAGTGTCGAATTCGAGCCACCCTGTACAGTATGTCCCTAGAGCGAATTTATAAGAGAAAAAACTTTTTTATTATCAACTTTTATAGAAAAATGCACTCTTCACAAAAGTTTTTGCTTGTTCTAAAATGGCTAATCCGGTTTATACTTTGCCAAATTTCCATACAGTTTTAGAGAAAAATAAAAAAATATGATAATATAATTGATTTTTTTTTAATATACCGTTCACCGCAGTATATTTTGTATTTTTTTTTACACTGTATATTTTGTATTTTTTTTTGAAAAATTGTTCAAATTGACTATACCGGGTGCGTCTCAAAAGTGGCTCACCCCTATAATTTTTTTGTTTTTTCAGATAAAGAAACGAAATTTGGTATGTCAGTATTTGACATAAATGACTACAACTTTTGATTTTTAAATGGCAACCTCGGTATTTTTTGACTTTATTCGATAGAAAATGACACTCTGAATAGAATGACATATCATATGCCAACTTCTGATATTTCCGCTTAAAACAAAATTGTATTTTAAATTTCAATCTAGAGTGCCATGGCTGTGTTAAAAACACTAATTTTCAATCAAGGAGCCTTGGATAAATAGATTTGATCGTCTAATGTTTTTCGTATTTTGTCCTGGCCGGTTAAAAGATGCCCAAAGCGTATTTTTAATCATATCTCAATTTTTCAATTGGAACGAGGGGGTGGCTCATTAGCATATTTGGAAAAAGCATATTTTTACGAATAATTTGGTACCATACACTTGGTATTTCAATAAACTATTCGTGTCATTTTCTATCAAATAAGGTAAAAAAATACAATTGTACCAGTGAAACAGGAAGTGACCAAAAACAATTGAATAGGTGCGTCAATAAATCCTAATTTATGTCATATACTAACGTACCAAATCTCGTTTTTTTGAACTGAAAAAATAGAAAAAGTTATAGGGATGAGCCACTTTTGAGACGCACCCGGTATTTACACCCTTTCAAAAACACGCCTACGATTTTTTATTTCAAAATAAAATTGTTGAAAATTTTACATTTTCCTTCAACACCCTGTATATTTAAAACAAACCAGTGTTTTGAACATATTTTGGTATAAAAATTTGGCGGTAAAAGATTATTTTCTATCGACTGTTCAGGTCAGTTTTGTACCACCCTGTATATTGCATATTTAGGATTTTTTTTTAGGAAAAATTGTTGAAAATCATTTATGAAAAATAATCATTTTGTAGATTAGTAGAAATCGATTAAATGACTAACAATGTTATTAAAATAAACATATTTCTCATTAATAATAAAAATTGGTGAAACACTATCATATTATCAGCATCCTACGCATATGACCTTGATATATATTTCAATTTTTTTATATTTAAATTTAACTTTCTTTCACTGATAACAACAACAACATAATGTTTTGGTATGAGTAATGAATAATTTATTGCAATTAATGTATATGAGTAATAAAGCTTTGAAGAACAATTTTTAGTAAAAAAAAAATAAAAACACTGATCCTATTCTTTAAAAACTTAACGTTAATTTATAAATATATCAACCGATTCATAAAGCCAATTAATTAACTTATAGGCAAAATAAGTACAGTTTACTAAGGTGTCCAAATATTCCCATGAACAATCTACATAATGTATTTTGGAATCAAAATGGTTCAGGTTAAAATAAAGGTTTAAATATTTTTTTGCGATCATATTGTATGTCCACGGAATATGGGTACACCCTATATATCGTAAATTAGTTGATAACAGAACCAAGTCAAAAATAATATAATTAAAATAAAATATACACGAAAATATTGTTACCAAACGTAAAACTTTGGTGCAATTAGATTCATTATTCGTAATGACATATAATTTTGTACCATA